TACTACACACACACACACACACACACACACACACACACACACACACACACACACACACACACACACACACACACATATACATATATGTTTTACAGTGTCTCTATTTATATGACAATATTTATCTCACTGAATTTCTTTATTACCTGATTAAATAATTTTCATTCTCATGAAAATTAAGTGACGTAACTGTACTAAAGTGTCCAGAAAGAATAATCTTTTCCTGTCCAGTAGAAATATTCCAACCATAAATTTTTGTATTATCACCAGCGCCAAAAAGAAGCGGATGTTTATTTTCTTTATTTGGGTGAAATTCCAATACACTAAAGAAAAATAAAAGTAACACAATTAACTTCAGGTAATATATTTTATTTTGTGTTTATTATGTACACAATTACCTAATTACCCCCTGTATTCCTTTGAGACTATGTATACATGCATGATGTTGTAAATTCCATAATCTAACAGTACTGTCACTTCCACCTGATGCCATTAGAATATTATTATTCGACAAAGTTATTCGTATCACAGGTCCTTTATGAATAGACTTCCATAATTTTGTTATTGTACTAGCTATAATAAAAGTATAAATTAAACAAATATATAGAGATAAAGTCAATACAAAAGCAAAACAAATTTTAATCTGATTAATTACTTTTCAAATTCCATAATTTAAATAGTCCACTTTTATGATGAGTGATTATGCTTGTATCTTCATTACAAAGAGTAAAACAATTTATCGTATCTTTTTCCTGATCAGCTTCTGTTAAACCCAATGATGATATTACAGAACCTTTATTCAAAGAGAGTACAGATACAGTGCCTCCTTTCTGACAAAATAGGTTTTCTGCATTTTTACTCCACTATGATGAAAAAATGTATTATAGATACAAAGAACAGATAAATTCTTTTATGTCTATTTCTATTAATACCTATTAATTCTATTATTATATTTATTAATTTACTATTAATTTTATTCTTTATTTTTTCTAATTCTTAAAATTAAAAGAAAATAAGGAATGAGGAAAACTGATTGATCTATATTAGTAAAAATGGACACTAAAAACTTACTTGTATATTGCCGCCAGTATAAAACGCTCCATGTTTGCATTCTATCTCAAATCTACAAATATAACATAAAAATAATTATGGAAGTAAAACGGCAGTTGTCGAAAACAAAACTACAGAAATAATTTACTTTATAAATTTATAATACGGTAAAACAATACTCACGCTTCTTTAAGATTAATTTTGCTCATTTCTATTATAATTTAATTTAGTGAAGATAAATAGATTTTTTCATTAAATTAAATATCTGCACATACCAATTTACCGTGAATTCAGAAATAAAATTAAACGCACGTGTAGATATAACTGGATGTACAATGAAAAACACAGACAATAGGAACAGGGAACAGGGAACAAGCAACAAATTTTGACCAATCAGAAATATTTCCGATATTCTTCACAGCTTCTGATTGATCGAAAACTGTTGCCTGTTGCTATTTCCTGTTCCTGTTTTCTATGACTGTTTTCCAACAAAGTATACAGATAAAACAGTGCTACAAAGAGATTTTAAGGCGTAAGTTTAAGAAATTGGCCAATCATAATCGATTTATAGAAGAATAACTGATTGGCCAATTTCTTAGTGTCGGTCCACAATAGGTGATTTAAGCTTTAAGAAATAAAAAATTGACCAATCATAATCGAATATGAAAAGAAAATCGCTTACGATAGATCAATTTCTTACGGCTTAAAGATTAAATATTTATTGTGAACCGACACTTAAGCGGCGTCTACAATAAGATTTTAAGACATAAGACTTAAGAAATTGGCCAATCATAATCGACTTATAGAAGAATAATCGATTATGGTTAGCCAATTTCTTAAGTCTTAAAGTCTCATTGTCACACTACTTAAGTGTCGGTCCACAATAGGTAATTTAAACTTTAAGAAATAAAAAATTGGCCAATCATAATCGAATATGAGAAAAATAATCGACTATGATTATTTCGTAAAGCTTAAATTATCTATTGTGGACCGATACTAACGTTGATTTCCTTACTGCTTTAGCGTTTTTCCTTGAAACGCACTGAGAGCGTGCTTGATATAGCCTTACACTAATTGCGTGTGAGTGCTGCACTGTGCTCATGTGGTGTATGTACACACATTTCATGCTATCGTATTTATTTCAGCCCACAAAGTTGCGGCAGTTTTAAGTTGCATAGAATCTGTATTCGAAAAAATAATATAAATAAATATATAAATAAATTTAATAATAATTTTAATTATAATAATTAATTAATTAATTACTTTAATTTAATTTTATTTAATAATAAATTGATCATCGTCTTCTTCACTTCATGAAGATAATATATCAATACAATTCATTATTACGCTAAAGTTTTGCTCCTGGTTGACTTCCATGTTTACAATTTAAATTTAAATGTTACACTCGCTTCACACCGTCTGTTTGAGACGGTGTAGCAAAAATCACACTGTGTGCATAAAACTTGTATTACATTGCAGTCACGGAAATACATTACACCGAATAAGTTCGCCCGCCACCAGCCATGGAAACACGCTACACTGTCCGAGCGTTGCACTAGTGAGCGGTAGTGCAACAAAAGGAAAACGCTATAAGTCTTACTGCTCAAGTTTTTTTATGTGCTATGGCCCTGCACGGCTCAACACAGTGGTCTAGTTTCCACTGATTAATTTGCTCTTAATTTGCTTCTAATACGATTTGTATGTACTTGACCCAAGAAGTATGCCGGTTCAAAGAATTATTATTTTAAATTGTTTGTATTTCGTATGAAAAGTTTTGAAGTGCAATTGAAAAGGTTTGTGAGTCATTCAGTTAATTGTAATTAATAATTAATCATTTTTATACCATGTACTTAGCCCGAGAAATTAATCGAAGATAGATTGGACAATATTCTTGTATGGAATTGTTTATATTTTATATAATCGATGGAAACGCGACAAATTGCGCCCATTTCAATTCCGCTTCGAGCCACAAATCTTTACTTCCGATGAAAATAGCATATTAAATTTGGTCCATACCAAAGTAGATTTGAATTGACTTCGATCGAAACTAGACCACGAAGATTTCCTCCACCTTTAAAATAAAGAAGGACTATGAATATAACGGGTATACATGATTCTAACTTGCAATAGAGTTATATGTATTGCGCGTCACTCTTCCATTTGAATCCCAAAATAATAATAAACTAATAAATATGCTAATATACTAATAAATACTAATACTAATATTAGTAAATATTACAGGTTCATTATATCGTTTAAAATTTTAATTATGGTCATGCAAACTCATAAGATTATTGATTTTTAAGGTTAATCTACATGCTTTTTGCATTTTGTTTTGTGTCCTTTTTGTTTTGTTGTCTCTTGTATTTTGCTTTTTGTATTTTTATCGTATAAAGCAGAAACATTGCCATCTATAATTAGTCTTTTTTGAATTTTCGAAAAAAAATGTTACTTCATATCATCCAATCATGAACCAATTACAGATTGATATTCATAGTCTGTTCTTATATTACGATCAGTTTAAATAAAAGTTTTAGATGCCGATACAGCATTCTTATTAGCGAGTAAAAAAAAATTTGCGAATAATTCACTCATTTGAATTTCATCATTTTTTTATCTGATATATTATTATTAAATTATATCGTACTTTATATTCACCTCGCAATATCGTCGTTGTGTCGTATTTAATAAGATGTTTCTTTGTTTTCTGTCGCCCGAGATAAAAGTTGACGAATTTCAAAAGAAACAAGAAACTTGAGACAAGAAACATGATTGTCAATAAAACAACATACATGAAGAAGCATGAAGAAGCAAAGGCAAAAAGCAAAAAGCAAGAAATAGGAAACAAAGAGCACATTATAGATTAACCTTTAATATCTTATCAATATCTATGGTTACACGGCACATCCAGTGGGTGCATTCGTTTATGCAGTCACTACCGCAGATGTCGTTCGTTTACACGGGGATGTATCTCATCTGTGCAGCTATCTCGGAAGTCCTGCTTTGGATATTTTGAATGCTTTGCTTGTAGTACTGCGTAAACGAACACCAAAATGAATTTTATTAGAATAAGAAGCGAAAAGGATCAAAAATAAATAATTGATACAATAAATAAAATAAGAATAATAAGATATAATTAAAATAAAAATAAGATAAAATAAAAAAATAAGAATAAAATAAGAAAAAATAGGAAAAAATAGGAATAAAAATAAAAGAAGAAATAAGAAAAAATAAAAATAATAAAATATAATTCACAAAAAATTAATATCTAACTTTTAAGTAAAATTAGATTAAATATTTTTTATGATATCCATTATTTATATCAATTAAATTTAATATCAATAAAATATTATCTTTTATACAATAAAAAAAGCTCGATTTCTATTGGAAGGTACGATCCATTATTCACGCAGTTATTCGATAAATTTCGATCACGTGACAAGCAGATGAGAAAGCAGTGGATGCACAAAACACTGTGTAAACGAATGTACCCAGCCTATTTTCTTTAATTTCTTAACGATAGTTTCATTAGTGTCGGTCCACAATAGGTGATTTAAGCTTTAAGAAGTAAGAAATTGACACTGACACTAACGACACTGTCGTTAAAAAGTCAAAGAATAGACTTACAGGTATATAAGTGTCGGTTCACAATAAGTATTTAATCTTTAAATCATAAGAAATTGATCAATCATAGTCGATTATTCTTTTCATATTCGATTATAATTGGCCAATTTCTTACTTCTTAAAGCTTAAATCATCTATTGTGGATCGACACTAAGATCTTTGATAAATACCAGCCTTAAAGTGTTAACTTTACACGCCCTTTTTATTTGTAGATTATAAGTTTATATTATAAAATTATGTAATAAAATATATATTTTATCATAATTTTTTTAGTATAAAATTATTATAATATATTGCAAAAAATAATCGACGATGTCACTCTCCTTCGCTCTTGCGCTCCATTCATACATGTACGTATATAGATACATACATAAAATCATTATAAAATAAAATTTTTTATTTTTACGTTTCTGAAAAAAGTTACAAAAACGCTTTGTTTAAGCGTCTCTCATTTCCCCATAATATATTGCTTGGAAAAACTATAAAGAAATTTTTAACAGAAATATATATATATATATATACACAAAATTACTAATCATGGATACGAAATGTACAACTATAATTAAGGTAAAAAATTTGCGTATACATTTTTCTATTAACCGTTTTCATCAAATTATTTAAAAATCATGTTGATTTTAATGTAAAAAAAAATTAATTTCTTAATGACATAATACTAAGGCTGTTGAAAAAATTGTTGAAGCTTTGAGGCAAAGATAAAAGAGGAGCTCTTTATCTATTTTTATTTAGTATTAAAGAAATTTAAAGAAAATTAAGAAATATGAGCAAAACTTGTAATAATATCAGTATGATTAAAAAATGTATGTAAAAAAATATGTGTTAGTACAAATAGAAAATAGTTATATTCTCTGCATTTCTTATTTGTACAGCCTTACAGAACAAGACAAACATCAAATGATAAATTAATAATAAAAACTATTATTTAGGTATCTTATGCATTAACATGGACATTTCTTGCAAGTTATTATTTTGCATGGGGTAATAATGAGCCTAGTATAGTTGTGGCACCTATTGACGAATCTGGTTGGAGCACAGATAGACTTTTTGCAAACGAAATAATGATTCGAAGAGCAACAACATAAGGAGAAACATAAAAATATATTTCTTATGGATAGAAACAAAATAAAATTTTTTATTTATATCAACTTTATAATTTTCATTTTCCATTTCCAATCAAAGCTATGAAAATAACAGATTAATTTTAAGAATACTTGCACAAAATCTAATGTATAAATAAATATCTTTGCAATCCTCAACCTTGTACAATATTTAACTATATTGACATGTACAATGTAATTATATTTGCCATTTATATTTTATATTTTTTATGTAGTATCATTTATATACATATACATAAAAATATGTATACGCACACGTGTACGCACGCACATATATGTATCATGTATATATATGAAATCAATAGTTATTAATAACAATTTATACAATCTATACTATCTATACAATTCTACTAACTTTTATTATTAATTAGGACATTTCGTTAATAGATTTTGTTTCGTTTTTGCCATTCTCTCGATCATTTTGAAGCTGCGCTTGCCACATCGCGTGATAAACATTACCATGTGAAATTAATTCTTCATGTTTGCCTCTTTCAATTATTTCACCATCTTTCAAAACGAGGATTTCATCTGCGTGAATTATAGTAGATAATCTATGCGCTACAATAATGGTAGTTCGTCCAGCGCATATTCTATTTAATGCTGCTTGTATATTACGCTCTGTTTGTGTATCCAAAGCACTTGTAGCCTCGTCGAGAAGTACTATCTTTGGCGCTTTTAATATTGTGCGTGCAATAGCAACGCGTTGTTTTTCACCGCCGCTTAATCTAAGGCCTCTTTCACCCACCTAAAAAATAAAAATAAAATAAACAACTGTTTAAGTTGGAAATTAAATGTAGGATATTAAGAGAAAACATATACTATTTATCCTATTTAAGCCAAACTTTGACAAACCTGTGTTTCGTAACCTTGCGGAAATGTAAGAATTCTTTCATGAATATCCGCATGTTGTGCAGCAGCAATTATATCTGCTTCTGGTGCATCAATACGACCGTATTGGATATTATATCTTATAGTATTGTTAAACAAGACTGTATCTTGTGGTACAACACCTACAAATTATAAAATTGTCTCAAGATAAATATGTTATTAAATATGTTTAATTTGATCGATAATAATGAAAGATTTTAATATGAACCTACCTATGTTACTTCTGAGAGACTCCTGCTTAACAGTCTTTATGTTTTGTCCATCGATTAAAATCGCACCCTGTTCTACATCATAAAAGCGAAATAATAATCTCATTATGGTACTTTTTCCAGCACCAGACGGACCAACTAGTGCTATTGTTTTTCCCGCAGGTACGATAAAACTAATATTTCTAAGTACGAGTTTCTCGGGAGTGTAACCAAACGATATATTTGAGAATTCCACTTGTCCATGCTTGACGTCTAATAATTCAGCTCCTGGTGCGTCTATCACCTCTTTCTCTTGTCTAAGTAGTTCAAACATATTTTCCATGTCAACAAAATTCTTTTGGATAGCCCTTTGGATAAAAAAAATTATTCAAATTAACAATATGCTTAAAATGATGAGTCATAAAAGCTTATATAAGCTCATTTTTTTAAACATATGTATTACCTATAATATGTGCCAAACCAGTTTAATGGTACATACAGCTGTATTATATAACTAGCAAATAAGACATAGTCGCCTATTGTTAAGCCTTGATGAGCGACGACCTAAGAGAAAATTAATTTATCTCTGTATATATTTCATTAAAAATTTTTAAAATTACAATCATTGTAATGATTTGTATTTATGATTTTTAAGCACTAACCATATGTAAACATAGTAATGAGCCAGATAACAAACCACCACAAACAATTATATTTTGTAAAGTATTTAAAATATTCAATGTAATCATTGATTTCCATTCTTGTATTTGGAATTCCAAAATCGCCTTTCTATAACTTTCTACTTCGTATGCTTCGGCGCCATAATACTTGACCGTTTCAAAATTCAATAAACTATCGACGCTGCGCGCTTTTTGCGCATTGTCAGCTAAATTCATCCGTCTTTGGAATTTTGTACGCCATTCCGTAACCGCGATCGTGGCAGCTAAATGATAGACAAAATATCAATAAAGAAAACAACAAAAACAATTAAATAGGTACCTTATGCAATCCATAAGAGAGACAATAATTCATTTGCTGTTACAATCTTACATTCAATTTTAATCTATTTCTTAAATCTTGTCTGAATATTATCCGAACAACATTATCAAATTTCACTAATTGTAAGGTTTCTACTATTATTGTCACTATTATTACTCTGCTATCCATATTCATTATACTTACCAATATAAAGAGCCATAGTTGTAAAAACAATAAGACCAAACCATTTATTAAATGCACTGATAAAAAACACAACGGCTACAATAATATCGATAATAGTTGGTAGAATTGAGAAAAGAATATAATTAAGTAAATTATTGATCGAATCTGTACCACGATCCATGATTCTTAATACTTCGCCAGTCTTCCTTCCAAGATGCCAACGCAAGCTCAATTCATGTAAATGTCTAGAAAAGGAATATTATATTTAAAATCATAAAAATAAATTTTATTATAATTATGTAAAAAAGTTAAATTTGTATTTGCAATACCAATGTAAAAAGATCAAAAACATACAATCAAAGTTTAAGTGTTCTAATATTATAATAAGTCCTTAATTTTTTATAATGTAAATTCTATTGTGCCTATATATAGGTAGTTGATATTGTAATTGATAAGTTATATATGTAATTGAAGAAAATGATGCAACAATATTTTCCATGCAATTTGTAAAAAAATTTTTTTCATAATACAACTGTAACACACCTGAATAATTCCACTTCAACTTCACGTGTAGTATATTGCTGAATACGAATCCAAAGAAAAGATCTTAAATTATTCAATAAACCCATACCTCCTGTACCACCACCTTGTAAAAATTTGAATGTTACATATATCAATACTATATCCCACCTACAAGTAACAATTATTAATTATTGATACATTAATGTAAAAAAAAAAGAATGAAAAATGAAAAACTTAATCATGTACCTAAATTCTACAGGAACAATTGTAACACTATCCACAATTTTTTTATTATAAATTGGCACGTAAAGATTTATTAAACGTCCAAATAGCAGCAACATGAAGCAAAATATTACTCTCAATTGAAGTAAAAAATCAGACTTTGGCCATAAAAATGGTGCCAAAGTTTTGGTCTTATACCACAGATTTGTCCAAGTGGAAGCATTATCTGATATCTACAAATATTTTCATGTAAATTAATATTTTTTCATTATATGCTAATTTCTCTCTCTCACACACACACACACACACCACACACACACACACACACACACATACACACACACACACACACACACACACACACACACACACACACACACACACATATATATATATATGCGCGCGCGTGTATACAAGCATATATGCATATAGGTACACCTAAATATAATTATATATCACTTACCCTTTGATAATATCGTGATCGTGTAGTCGAATCATGAAGCGTGTGATACTCTGAATCAAAATTATTAGCAATGCCCGGAGCTCGTAAACCAAGGGCAAAAATCAATAAATTACTAGCATATCGTAAAACAAATAAAGCCATTTCGATCTGATCTGTCAAGCTTTAAAGCAATGTCAAAATTAGATAAATTAGATAAATTAGATAAATTAAATAAATTAAATAAGTTATATTATTATCAGAAATTTTTTTTATAAAATATGAACCTACGAGTTCAAATGAAACCACCATTCGAGTTTTCCAATATTGATTAAGACAAGATTTTCAGCAACAAACGCTAATGTCCAGAAGCCTAGTAATACTAATCCATGTCCATGTGGTGGTACACTTGGCAATAATTTATGTCTTTCAACTTTCAGTATATAAATTGAATATGGATAAACAATTATCGTCAATATACTTGTTAATATCTGCAAAAATACTGATGCTTGTTATTAAATCTATCAGAGAAAGAAATCTAAAAATGATCATTTTGACCGTGAACAGACAAAACCTATACATCTCTAAAATCTATACATTTTGTGATAATCAATTATAATAAAGAAAATGCATAGCTTCTTAAAAAGGATATGTTATTACATATTGCAAATCTCCATTCTTTTGAACAGCAACTATATGTTTTCTTTACACCAATTGATTCTCATTATTCTATGTATCAAAGTATCAAGATATAGTTGTCAAAAAATGAATAGTTTACAAGATATTTTATGTCATATTGCACATTAAATTCAAGCCTCACAATTCAGAAAGTACTTAATAAAAAAAACTTTATTATAGTGTTTTGAAAAGCTGACCCTTATATGACCTTGATACTTATCCAAGGTTAAACCAATAGCATCATCTTATGTCATCCTTGAAGTCATAAAACTTTTAT